CCTTTCACTCTTTCCTCCTTCCTTTCGGCTTCCATTACACCAAATACAGTCAATATTGATTCATGTTAATGGAGAAGTGCACAGTAGCATTGGATCACATCATATTACACATGCTGAATTTTGATTTTAACAACTACCTAAGAAGTCGAAGCTCTTAAATAAAAATGACAACGAATGATTGAATGATAGTTTAAAAGAGTGGATGAGAAAATAGTTGTTACTTTATGTTGTCCCCTTTGTTGTCAGTAGGGATGATTTAATTTGAAATTCGTGAATGTTGTCATTTTCTTCGCTTATGTACCAAACTACAATGAAGAAAATCCGTGTAATGTTTTGGTTGAATCACGTGTTGAAAACAAGTTTTTGTGGTCCATTTTGAATCTAGTCAATCTGTAGTCAATTTTGATTTGTTAGCTTTTCCTTCATGGAGTATTTGGTACGTAAAATATTTTTTCTCTTAAAAATTTTAAATTAGAAATCTTTTTTTTTTAATGTTTGATAATTATTAATTTTTCTTTTAAGAATATAATTTTTCATGAATTATTTTTATCTCACTTTTTTACAAAAATATTTTTATGACCATGAGGATGAAAACCAACTTTTTCAAGTTAAAAAAAGGTTTCACACATATAAAAGATCATAATATCTTTTTTAAAATATAAAATCTTTCTCTTTCTCTCCTATTTCTATTTTTTTTATCCATCTCTTTCTCTTTCTCTCTCTCTCTCTCTCTCTCTCTCGCCCTCTCCCTCTCCTTATACCTATCCTCCTTTCCCTCCTATATATCTATTTCTCTTTCTTGTATTTTTTTTTTATATTTTGATCCTTTCAATTTTAATAACAATATATTTTTTTTTACAGTTTAATAGTATTTGTTAACATTTATTTATTTTGAATGAAATAAAATAATATATTTTTATTCTTTTTAATTATTATATAGTAGTTTTCTTTGTTTATTTTTTTTTGTTGAATTCTGTATTTAAATAATTTTAACTCTGAGTTTTCAACTTCTTAAAATAGTTTAATGTTATATTTGTAATAAAATATGAGTAAATAAATATATTTAACGAGTTTATTTTAATAAAGTATATTTTTGTAAAAAATATTTATGTACTCAAGAATATGCTATTGTATCCAAATATGAAAATCTTTAATTCTCAAGAATCTTGTATAAATATTCCTAAAAAAATTTTATGAATAGCCAAACAAATTCATAAATTTTTACGATGTATTGTTGGGTACTCTATGTTCTTTGTTAATTGGTTGGCTCTAAGTGCATTACATAGAAAGAAAATTCCATGGTACACATGCTGTGTACCTTTCAGTCTGTGCGCTATGAACAAAAATTGACAACAGATTTATATTTAGATTTGGATGTTATCTGGCAGATTTTCTTGATCCCATTTCATATTCCTATCGGAATGGCACAAATTCAATATCCCATGTTTCTCAAGATTCTCTCTGCATTCTTCTTTCATATATTCTTTCTCATTGAAAATACTATTATTTATATCTTCATTTACCTCTTTTTCTTAGGGTTTTCACAAATTATTGTGAGTGTTTATGTTGTTATGCAACTTTAATGCGAGCAACTTACATTAGTTTTTTTTTTTTTTTAATTTTTTTTAGAGAACTCACATTAGTTTTTAGTATATCTAAAAGTGCAATTTCTTCTCAGTCATGTTATTACTAAGTAATTTATACTCAATTTTGTTTCAATGGAAGAAATTTTAAAAAACTCATAATTTTATACTTATTTTTATTTTTATTGAGTTGATTATGTAACATTTGTTTGATGATTTTCACTGGGTCCAAAATAATTATTTTTTTTAATAGTTAGGAATAATTACTCACTAAAGCAACTAAATTTTTTTAAACAATTTTCATTATCATTTGAAATTGCTCCAATGTTTCAAACAATTAGAACCTCATTAAAATACTTTAAATAACACTTTCGATTGAAAATGCTCTTAGCATACACTTGTTTTTCTTAAAAAAAAAAAAAATACTTGTTTCCTAGAGAGAGTATACATTAGATGTATTTTAACAAATTAAAGTTATATATTAGTATAAAATAGATTAAATTCCTTGGTTCTTAAATTATTTGAAACTTTTTAAGTAGGTTCTTAAATTTTTTTAATTAGATTCTGGATTATTCAATTTTCTATTTAAAATTCTTAAAACTATCAAATTATTTTAGGTTAAGATATAATTTTGATTCCTTATTTTTATTTTAGGTTTTGGTTTGGTCCCTTATTTCTATAAAGTTTTACTTTAATTCTTGAAAGTATTTTTATTAGTTAAATTGGTTCTTCGGTAAACTTGTTACACTATTGTCAGATGATGTGACATCTTTATAACTTGTCACATGCTATTAAATTAGTCAAATTAATTAGATAAATTGACGGAATCATCGATTTGATTTAACAGAGATATTAAGAGACTAAATTAAATTTTTTAAACATATATAAGGGATCAAACTAAAATTTAAAAATAAAAATAAGAACCCAAAATCATATTTTATCCATTACTTTTCTTTGATATATAGTTTTAAGCCGTGAGAACTCAAAAATAACCCCAGTAACATCTCTTTTTTCAATTTAGGATCCAAAAGTTATTTTAGTTAAAGAAACTAATAAAAAATTATCAAATAATTTAGGAATAATCTAACCTGGAAAAAAATATAAAAAAAGTGAGTTTTAAAAAAGAACATTTTAGTGATCATATATTTATGCATTAACAAAGGGTTTTATAAACATAAGAAAATCTGTATTATCATATATTTTTATCCAAATACTCGTTTATCTTTAAATGTGGTAATGCCCTGCACTGTTGGTTACTGGTACAGTACATTATTTATATCCTAATGTGTGTTTTCTGGTTGGTGCATTTTGTACCTTGATTTTTCGTGTATGGGGAATTTCCACGGGGCTAGAATAAGGTGGTTTCACTCGTAGTAAGGGATGGCAAAAATTTTCGCACTCGTGGATATTTGTGGGTAAAATCCGTTACAAATAATAAATAGATAAGTTAATTGGGTACTCGCGGATAATAGGGATGAATAATTTTTTATCCATTTATAAACGGGGCGGGGGCGGGTATGATGATATTCATACCCGCGAATACCCGTTTAATAATATTTCTTAAATATCCTAATTATCCTTGTATCACATAACCCTAAAACTACACTCTCTCATCTTATTTTCTTACAAAAGTGAGGTTTATGAAGTTACCAACATGTGTTAAACATGTTATAGAATTATATTGGATGTAATTTGATTAATTTTCTATCTTTGATTGGATTAATAAGATTTATGTATTTTAAGTTGTCTACTTTCGTTTGGAATTATGAGATTAAATTATTGTAACTATGTAATATGAGACTTTCACTTACTTATGAGATTGATATATTTTAAGTTATTGATTATCTTGCATTTTTATTATTATTTTAACAAAATTAACATTAAATACAAGTTTAAAATTAACATTGAATTTTTTTTAATATTTCAATGACATTAAATATAAACTTAAAATCATTTGTAATATAATTTTTTTAATTTCTTAAAA